TTTCCTCTATTTGCAAATCATGTACAAACTTTTATTCATTGTGAAAGAGGCGGGGAAAGGGAGGCAATTTTCGCCAAGTCATGATTTCGCGCGCTTTAGAATTCGAGAAGAATTTTCATTGTTAGTTGACCTTAAGAAGGAAAGTACGTGACGGAAGGTCAAAGGTTGCTACTTGTCTTTCAATGTAAGTCATTCAGGTTTTGGCGATTGAGGGTCCGGTTGTTGGCTAAGTGAAGAAGGGCGCGCATGCGCGATCACCCTTATTTCCGCATTCTGGAGTTGAAAACGAAGATTTTGCCATATTAAGGGGGCGATAAGTGAAGCCATAGTGGGAGCCCGTTTGGTGAAGGACAAGAAGAAAATTTGAGTTGGACACACTTACTTTTGGCTGACTCTCGGACTGACTCGCTGATTTTTGGGCTTGCTGGACAAAATGTAAGTGACTCCGAGAGGTGTTTTCCGGCGGGGAGCGGCAAATATGCTCCCCGGCCGCGGGTGAATAACAAAAAAATTAACAGAGACTTGGGTCTCTATCTGTATCGGCAAAAGTCAGGACGATGTCCTCTGAACTCCGACTTGAAAACAGAAGGAATTATGTCACCTTAGTCAACTGGAAGCCTGCGTTAGCCGTTCTCTAAAAATGCCGAGCTTAATTGTCTACGTTTTCCATGGTGGAGCTGAGAGTCTAGGCAGACAGCCGTGCGGTGCAAGCTGTTCTCCTTGCTTCCAGTGGGAACAATTTTCTTTCTATGGAAACCAGTAGCAGGCGTGAGATTTGGATGGTATAGCTGATGTAATTTATTGTCGTGCCGTTCGAGTCTCTGTGGTGCGGATTTGCCAAGGTGTCGTAAAGATAGAGCTAAGATATGAAGTTCTCCTTCACTTCAAGATGTCCACTCAAGATAAGTATCATTTTTTTGGTGTGTTTTGAACTTTAGGCAAGTTTTTCAAAAACGTCCTTAGCAGTAAAAACAACGTCGAATCTAAAATTTAACTCTCTGGCCATAAATTGTTTCCCTTTCCTTTCTTTAAATCACCAGACAAACCTTTAAGTTTTTTTATGAATTTAAATGAACAGACTCTCAGATGAGGTTAAGATCTTTCTTTGTGTTGTAATTGAATAAACTGATATTTATCTGGAACCTCTTACAGTATGTTTTCTTTATATATTTAATATGAACTTTCCTTTATATCTTGTATATGTTTTTATGTTTTTCGATCCTCTCACGGCGCGGTCCCGGAATGCATTTTTTTCACAACGCAAAAATGCTGTACACCACGTTTCACTATACGATCACTCCCTTTAACGGCAAGTAGTTTCAATATTTAACATTTTAACAATATAGGAATTTCAGATATAACATGGTACCTAGAAGTAAAACTATTTAACCATGGTGTCGAAACTCTTTTAATATAACAGATGCTAGCCTACCAAGACATTTACATAGTAATTTTACATTAATATTAGACTTACGTATTGAATATACAGTTACAAAGACATAGTATACAATTATTGCAAAGAAATTAACCTATTAACAAAAGTTGGATTATGGCAGATTGATATAACATAATTACTTCGAACATACATACAAACTTTCATTGTACATTGTACTTCATACAAACAATATATTTACATTAGTATATCTAGTTACATCGAATTAAAATAAACATCATTTTAAGGAGCTAATTGAAGATTTTTTTTTTTTTTTTTTTTTTTTTTTTGTGCATTTCATCATACTTAGTTGAATTACTAAGGCGAATTCTCTTATTAATACATTTCCTTTCATTTTTTTAACTTGTTACACACAATGCATCAGCACTGAAGTCTTACATTATTATTTTTGTAAATTAATGTATCATAAATACAGAAAATATACATTAGAAAATCACATAATACTTACATTTACACTAATATATCTAATAGATTCGTATATTATTTACATTATTTTTTAATTAATGATTTAATTATTACACTAATACAGTCCAAATTCTTAATGTACTATTTATAAAAACTATTTATACCCATATTTAGCCTGTTTCAGACACTTGCAATATTTCTGAAATCTTGCATTATTTTTGCAAGTTGTAGAATAAGAGGTATTTATACAGATGCGATAGCATCTTGACACATGTCTTCTCTTTTATATGCAAAAAGTTTCTTCATAATCAAGGAAACCTTTTGTTGTAAATGAGGTATCGTTAGCATGCATTTAATGTACTCAGGCGTACATGATATTCTTCGAAGAAAGCTTTAAATTACGAAAGAGAAAATTGCTTGGGCTGAGTTCTTGTTCTGGCTAAGTTTTGTGATTGGCTGTAACTTAGCCCAAAGCCCGAAGCCTTTAGATTGAGATTTATGACCATTATTATCTTCAGAGCGTAATGCGAACGTACTATTATAGTGAAACGCATGTGAGGAAATCGTTGCAGCGATCTGCAAAGCTTGGGCCATAATTTGTGAAATGTTTGAATGTTTTGAACATGAAATGTTTTCCGTAATAATACTGTCGTAGCTTATTTTAGGTTTCTGGAGAGAGTTACTGTTCAAGCCAGTATGCTTTCTTTAGAAAATTTTATACCTAATATAAAATTTTCAAAATGGTGCTTCTAAAAAAGGTGTCTAAACTATGTATATGTGAGCCATTTTTAAGATTGCACTGCAATGTTATGATCTGCCGTCTCAGTATTGAAGAGCACGTTATGAAGTAATTTTTTAAGATATTAATGATATTTATTTGAAATGATCTTGTTAGCAGTATTGCAAATGGAGCAGCATCAAAGCCAGATGTCAGTCGTAAGCAATTTAAAAGGGCAATTTGAATACATTCTGTAAAATATACGCCTTAAATTTTTAAAATTTAAATAAGCTCATGCAAGTTAAATAGAATTGTGTTCGCGCAAAGCACAAGTTTCGCCAAAAGCAGTTTTCAGTGATGCTGTTCTTGTTTTCCACAAATCCTGAAAATATACATGCAAGAGCATGCAAATACTTACGCATCAAAAAGTGCGCAGTCAGTAATAATAGATTTTGTCAGCTTTACCCAGGCCATTTAAAGGGATCTCAAGAGCTATTTATTTATCCATTCTACCCTGTTCGAGTATAATCAGCTAATTTTTTTTTAGCCCAAAGGGGCGTTAGACACAAAGGACTGTTAGTCTCAAAACGGCATTTTACGTCGTTTCACTTTTTGCGTTGATTCACTTTTCAAACTTTTGACACCAAATATTATCGCTCGCCATGTATTATATTTAAAGAAACTAAATAATGAAGAATTTGCATGAATGCGTGAATGTTTATCGCATTGTGAAAAAACAACGGTTACGTAGAGCCCTCAAATTTTGAATAACTTAGTCCTTCCTCCAACCGAACATGGGCACTTGGAAGACCGAATTTCAAATTTTGTAAAATTTTTATATAACAAGGTGCAGTAACAAATACAAAATACAAAGTTTTAAAATATTATTCTTAAATCTTTTATAAAACTACCATAATACTATTCTGTGCAATTAAATCTGATACCTTGCATTTTGTTATTATTTATGTATATCTTAAAATCGATTTTCTTTTTTGATAAGGCTTTGTACTTTGTTGCATGTGCTTTCTTACGGAACTGAAACAAAATGTCTTTTTTTTTTTTTTTTTTTTTTTCCAAATCTGAATGGTTTTAGTTTAGACCATGATTAAAACTCTTTTTAAAGCTATTCCCCCTTAATAATGTGCATTGTTACTGAAATACATCAGCATGAAAACTAGACTTCGCATGGCGTTCATTTAATTATTTTGAGACATTTTATATTAAGTAATTAAATACTTGAAAGTCTGGTATCATATTTGCTGAAACACTCTTAGTCTAGCATCTTTATGATATTGTTTAGAGATGCCAGATGTATGTTTTTTATGACTTTCCTCTCATTTTTCTAGATTTTTTATTTCTAATTAAATAAAGTTTATCCGCCATATCTTAGAAATTAGAAGGCTGGTTTATTGAATCTACATATTGGGTTACGCTAAGTTATAATAAAACTGTAACTGACTAAAAGGAAGATTATTCTAAGCATTCACAAAATAAGACATCCATTTTCTTTTGCACCATTTTCCCCACTTTTTAGAAGACACTGAATGCTATGTAATTATAATCCAGTATAAAATATGTGGCAAATGAAACGAAATTCTCAAAACCAAAAACAATTTATCATGAACAGTTTCCCTTCGAACAGCTTTCATTTCATATGTTTGCTGGGGATATTAAGTTCAGAGAAAATTTACATAAGATTGTACATGTCTTAAATGATTTCTTGAAATCAATGGTATAGCTTTTATTTGTTTAATGTATAAATCTCCTCTCCAGTCCAAGCGTACATAATCCAAATTTAAGCTATACTTATATCGTTTAAACTAGAGAACTTTAAATATCATACAAAAAATGAAAATAACTATATCTGTTTCCCTATTTTGAGTTTCAAAATTTTAAATCCAGTTGCGAAGAACAGATCTAGTAGCTGGTGAGTGGATTGTAGTAGTAGCTGGTGAATTTTGCAAATATTTTACTTTTGCCATTTAAGTCGATTATTTCTCTGTGGCAAACTAGACTTTTAATAAAACTAGCAATGTTTAATTTGAAGACTGTACTCTCTACACCTATTCAAGTTATGTTTTTTATTTTAAATTTTGGAATTCAGAGCTCATTTGTTATATTAATTAGTATAACACACGTTATCACTTTCGAAATTATAATAATTTAAAGCGTTGACCAATTTACGTTTATCTGTAGCATTATTATTGTCAGAACAAATATGTACCAATTTAATATTAAGGCGATATTTTATAATACCTGTTATTTTTTCTGTCGGGTTTGAGTGCAGTTGGCATCATCTCTGAATTCCTGTCTTAACAACTGCGTAACCAAGTGTTAATTAAATTAGTATCAATTTCTTCGTTTTGATGCTCAATATTTGTGTAGTTTGAAGCTTAAATTGAAGGAAAAGTCATTAATACTTACAAATCCATCATGGAGGCAATCTTAGACAGAGAAACCGTTCCCTTAACTCTTTTAATTTCCTTTGTCTCTGGGCATGCAAATACATCTACGAACAACGAGTAGAAATTATTTGCAGTGTGTCCAACAACGTGCCACTTTTCTCACCGAACAACTGCATACCGCCGCACCCAATTTGTTCGACGAGCCTTAACGTAATTAGAGCAGCTCTGCCTGCGCTGCCCAATTACCTTTGGGTGGATCGGATCTTGCGAATGTAATAACCCTAAAGCTTGTTTGAAACCGACCCTTTTGCAACTCCGTTTGACTATTTTTATCCCTTTTCGAGCACCTCGGTATTCCATTTATCCAAATTGTGCTATTGATCTTCAGATCGGAGGCTGGGGTTTTTCCAAAGCTTCTTCATGTTGTTTTCTGTGCCAATTTTTGTCAACAAGGAGACAAAGGTCTAGGTCTGACTTTGCCATCATTGGAATCAGGATCAGCTACTATAAGTGAAGCTTCATTTTCAAGCAACTTATTGAATGAAATAATGACACGTAAGTAGTTCTGACTATTTTACGTAAAATCGTTATTACCACTTACGTTTTACAGTTGAAGAGATTTTTCTGTTTTCATTTCCACATGCAAAAAGTAGTAACAGGTGGCCTTCACACTAGGCGGAGATTATAGGTAAATAGGAATTTATACGTCGTATTATGCCAATTATGTCAAATTAATTACATTATTAATTATGTCAGACTCGATCAGTTATATTATCAGTGGACATGAATTTTGATTTCCTTGCAGTGGCTGAAAATCATTATTTTATAGCTTCACACTGAAAATATAATTTATTCTTACTATCAGATATTTAGTCTGCTTTATTAATAACTTGTTTTGATTAATGAAATAAATTTACTTGTATCCCATTGTAAGTCGCGAAGTATAAGAATACTGTTTTCAATGGACAAGTAGAATATAAATGCTAAATACGTATGTATACGCATTCGGATTTTTCTTGTTAGGAATAGGCTTTTTTAGTATTTATATTATATATATATAAAAAGGAGCTATGAACATTTAATATTACTTTAAATACTTTACACATTGATAATGTTATGCACTATAACATTCCATAATAAGTGAAATAGGTGAAAGTAAATGCTATATCCTTAACGTCTCGACATTTTATTAGTTAGGTCCTTTTAATTTGTAGTTCGAATATATTATATGTGTAACTACTCTTTCCATCTTTTTCCCATGGTTAATGGTTTTAAAGGTCTATTTCTGCGTTTGCTGTATTCAAGTAAAAGAACAAAAGCTTACCTTTAATAGTTAAATTATGAAATTTGTTATCTCAGTTTCTGATGCATTCGCAATTATTAGTTGTACATCCTGTATTATTTCTCGGCGATCAAAATAAATTTTTAAGCTTAATGTAATGGGTTTACGTATCGATGACTTCCTATTTTGGGTAACGTTCTGGGTTCTAATTTGTTCAGGAACGCATGTTTAAAATTTAAACATAGTAATATTGATATATATAATAATATAAATACATAATATACAATTTATATAATAATAATATAAATACAATTAATATAATATAAGTACGTAATTGTGTAATGTGCAAAGAATGAGTATATATTAGGAAGAGATCTAATTATTTATTTCATTGTTAATATGGATTTTAACTAGTGCATCAAATCCTCTTTGTTTAGTTTCAGTTTTCTATTTTGTATCTGTATATTTGGCAAATATGTGGATATGACAAAATGCTCGCTCACTTTTATTCGTTTCATTTTATTCAGGAATTACGAGTAAATTTGGTGAAGAATATTATTCATCCGTATTTTTGAAATATCAAAACTAGTATTTAAATTTCTGAAGATCCTTGGAATTTTCTAAGACGCAGTATAGCAACAATTAATCGTTAAATGCAATGGCTCAGACTATGCTCATTACACGTAAGCATTTGGTAAATGTGGAGTTTGTATGTTAAAATGATTGCATAATCGATAATACTTTGAGTCAAGAACTGCAAGCAAATTTGAAATTCTGATATGGATTATATCTTCGAATTTCGGTTGGACTGTGATACGCAAATCTTAGAAATTAAAAAAGAAATTATTTGTCTAAAATAATCTTTTGCTTCACGGTTTTACAATAGCGTTTTTGTCTGCTGGGAACCGCATGTCATTTTAACAATTTCGATCATGCGCTCTTGTAAGATTATAAATCTGTATGCAAAGGTTAACCATTTGGGTTATTTTGTCGATAATCAAATTGTCTGCTGTGTTTCAATGAAGCATTTATTAGCCTATGGCCACAGATCAAAGTTAAGCTCTCGAATATTCGTCATTTATCTTCAGTATAAAAGCAAGCTCACGTTTCTTTAATGAGCTGTATTTCTATGTGTTGATCATTTTCGCCATACAACGAAAGGCTTCAGATCTGGATATATAGTATACAACAGCCAGAGTATACTCCGATTAAGTTGTCCTCAAACATGAGAAAAGTAATTAATTCTGTAGACGTTCTTTCAGCCATGAATATATGTCGCATGTAGGAAATCACCATTTCGAAAGACAACTGATATGTAGAAGCAGTAAAGCCGTATTACACTGAACGTTGGATAACAAAAATTATAAATCACTAGTGTGCTCTTCGATAACCTGTGTCCGTATATTAAAAGGAAATGCTTATTGTCTGACTCTCCGGTTAACTTTGAGATGCGTTTCTAAAAAATAAAGGTCTAAACTAAGTTAGTCGGGGGGTCATTTTAGGAGCCAACAAGCAAGGCTACTATACTAATATGTAAAATAATAATATTAATCTAAACGCTTTAGATTACGGTCTAACATCTGAAATAGTTTATGGAATAAGAGTATACAAAAATTAAAAAAAGCAAAACAGTATATATATATATATATATAAACTATAAAATTCATAAGATTAACAAGAAATCTGATCTTTGCGTGCAGGCTTTGACTCTCAAATCAATTTTAAACGTCCTCAGTAAGCTTATTAGTTTACGAATTTTAGTGGATGGCCTGCACACAAGGCTTTTAACAAATATTTCCCTCAAGTGGCGGTCCTTCTGTTTTACCAGAAAGCGAAATTCTTCGATCGATAACTCTCTCAAAGAGGTTTCTTTCGAGATTTGTAGAAGAAATCGTTGGAGCATTATATAAAGAAAGTTTAATACATATGATTAGGTATAATATAAATAGATTATAGGGTTCGCGTCGAGAAAGGGCTGGCTGCTTGAGCATTTTCATTTTTTTCCGGTGTGTTTTTTTTAGTATTTATCCTTAAAAAGGCCTCTATGAAGGAATCCATTCCCATAGGCAGATGGCCCACCAGCGGCCGAGCGGTTAAGCCGCTGAACACTGGTAGTTCGGTTCGAGGTTCGAATCCCGCGAACGGGCTGGCTGCATGGGCGTTTTCGTGGTTTTCCCCATGTGTAACGTGTATACGAGCCAGTTTCCTTAAAGTCCTCCACGAAGGCTCCCTCCCCTTAGGCAGATAGCCCTCGAGGCTTTGCCATAATCACACACACACACACCCCTTAGGCAGATAACCCTAACGTGCTTTCTCACCCAAACCAAAATGAGTAGATTAAATATCAAGTAATTAAAATTTTCTTTACCACTTTTATATTTAGATGCCCTGCTAAAAATGCCCCATAGGAACCAGTAAAACTTTTTATGGGTACCTATAGAGTTTTTGATTTTCTCTATTGACTTTTACTGGTTTCTATTGATCTCTGTGGGTTTTTCTTACTGGTATCAATTGACACCCATACAACCAACATCAATGTCAGAACTTTTTACTGGTTTGTATTGGTTTTCCTTTACTGGTTTTCTTACTGGTATCAATATAATAATAAATCTTCTGTTGGTTTATATGGGTTTATCTATTTTTCTATCGGACGTTAATAGATTTCTTGTAAACAATAAAATTAACAGAATGAAAATATGATCTCTTTAAGACCATCAGAGTAACCTGGAAAGCAGGTGGTCGTATTAGAGAGGGTTTTTACTAAATATGCTTATTTAGTTGATTTAATTTTTTTTTCGGGAACAATAACAGTAATTATATACACCACACACAACGAGGTCTCTCTAAGGCAACCAGCCGCAAGTAAAAATCCATTTTTGCGAGTGGTCGATTTAGAGAAGTGATGCTTAATACCAATATATATTCACGTTCTCAGAAATACGTTTATCTATTACAGGTGGTCGTCTTAGGGAGATTGCAATATTAGATGTCGTCTTAGATGTAGTAATGCAATATATAATTTACTATGATTTACTGTATTACAAATATTACTATGTTTTACTGTTTCGAAATTAGTAATAAATAATAAAATACCAGCACTGACTATGAATATGAAAGCAAATACCACTATAGCCATGCACGTGTAATCGTGTCTAACGTTTGAGAGAACTTTGCTGATAGCTGACTAGTTGTGAAATGGAGTTTCTGTGCGTGAAATTGATTTTCCATCTTTACTTTTATCCTGAAAAACAATGTGCTTAAAGACTGAAAAGTGATAATTTCAGACTTGATAATTTGGTTCAGTGTGTTTAGATCAGATGCAGAAATATAGTTTTTGCATTCTACTGAAACTGTATTTTGGAAAATTTGTTTTTTTTTATTACAGTTTAGAAATACTTTTTAAAGCTTGTTCATGTAGATGCTTTATCATTTGAATATTATGTACTAATAAATTTGAGCATACCTTACTTAAAAATGATCTTGCATGATTCAATTTTCAATTTTTCGACTAATGTGATGTGGCCGAGCAAAAAGAATGTTTTTTTTTTTTAAAAAATGTACTAATTATTTCGCGAGCAAAAAAGGTAAGTTTTATTAATGAAATAAACATTGAATATTTAATGTGTTTATTACTTATTGAATGGGGTAGACAAGACATACAAGCTTAAGAATCTTTTTTCCACTACTAAAATTATGTGAAAATTTAGATGATCATAGTAGCTTACATTGTTTTTCTTTTTGGTCTATTTTCTTTTACAAGTATGAGACTAGAACCACATTTTTACATTAAATATTTTGTGCTATTTTGTTAAAACACATATAATCATTTTTATGCATACTTTAATTTTCATTATTATTAGTTTGATGAAGAAAATTTCAAATGTGTTTTTCATAAATTGCTTTTGAAATAGAAATAGATTTGTGAATAAGATTTATGTAATATTAA